AAGCTAAATGGGTTAGGGTATTTATAGTTGAAGCTTAAGGACTAATCTTGTAAATACCCTAAAGTACAATGACTAAATGTGATTTTACCGTTGTCCAAATTCAACTAAAACCCAACTAATTTTTGGTGCCCTATTTTTAATTCATTTTTTTCAACATGCACCGAAAGTGCATTAAGACTTTTCAACAATCTCTCACTTGAAGATTTGATTAGAACAATCATATCTTCACACCATTCTTTATACCTTGTACCTTCATGTTGCTTACGTCTCTGACAGGCCACAAGAGGATCGACACCAGATAAATTTATCAGCATTGATCGCCTTCGTCATGAAATCTTCTATGTTGTCTTTGGCATGGATCTTCTATATATCTATTGTTCCTTCTTCCACCTTTTCACAAATGAAGTGGTACTGAACTCGTATGTGTTTTGTCCTTGAATGAAATGTTGTATTCCTTGCTAGATGCAAGGTGCTTTGACTGTCACAAAACAAAGAGTACTCTTGATTGTGCCCAAGCTCCTCCAATAGCATCTTCAACCAAATTGTTTCTTTTCTGGCTTGTGTAGCTGCTACATATTCTGCTTCTGTTGTGGATGTAGCCACAACTGACTGCAACTTAGAAACCCAGCTTACAGCTCCACCAGCAACTTTGAACATATATCCTGTTGTAGATTTACTTTTAACCAAATCCTCTGCATAGTCAGAATCGACATACCCATTGATAAGTAAGTTTGATCCTCCGTAACATAATGCAATATTTGAGGTCCCTTTGATGTATCTCAAGATCCTCTTTAATGTATTCCAATGCTCTTTGCCTGGATTCGCCATGTACCGACTAACCACTCCCACTGCTTGTGCAATTTCTGCTCTTGTGCATATCATAGCGAACATTAAACTTCCCACTGCCAATGCATACGGTACTCGAGACATCTCCATCCCCTCTTCTTTACTGCTAGGACTCATACTGGAGGATAATTTAAAGTTAATAGGAAGAGGGGTAGAAATTGACTTACAATCTTGCATGTTGAACCATGACAAGATCTTCTTCAAGTAATTCTTTTGTGAAAGTCAAATCTTCCAATTACTTCTGTCTCGGTGAATTTGCATCCCTAAAATCTTGTTTGTTGATCCCAAGTCCTTCATTTCAAATTCCCTAGCCAGTTGTGCCTTCAATTCTTCAATATGATCTTTGTTGGGTCCTGCAACCAACATGTCATCCACATACAACATCAATATAACAAAATTGTTATCACCAAACCTCTTGAAATAAGCATAAGGGTCTGTATTAAGTTTTTTGTATCCAAGACACATTATGAAAGAATCAAATCTCTTATACCAACACCTCGGCGCCTTCTTTAGACCGTACAGAGATTTGTTCAACTTGCAAATCAAATTCTTCTTTTCTTTTTCTTCAAAACCTTTAGGCTTGAGCATGTAAATCTCTTCTTCAAGATTTCCATGAAGAAAAGGTGTTTTAACATCTAGCTTCTCTATATGTAAGTTCAACGTAGCACACATTGCTAAGACTACTCGAACTGTTGTTAGTCAAACCACGGGAGAAAATATTTCATTGAAATCAATACCTTCTTTTTGAGCATATCCTTTGACCACCAGTCTTGCACGATACCTTTCAACTTGATCGTCACCATTTCGCTTGGTTTTGAAGACCCATTTGTTACCAATTGGCTTCCTTTCTTGTGCTAGTGGCACAAGGTCTCATGTATTATTTTTATAAAGGGCTTCAATTTCTTCTTGCATCTCCATCATCCACAATGAAGCATATGAGCTGTTTATTGCCTCCTATATGTTAATGGCTCACCGTCTTCTGTTAAAAGGTAGTATGCAATATTTCATTTTATAATATAATCTAAGTTCCAATTGGGACGTCTTCTCATACGATCTGATTGATGAGTTGTTGGAGCTTCAGAACTCTCTGGTTCTTGTTCATCATGTGCTAGTACTACTTCAGAATAATCTCCTTGTTCAAACTCCTTTTCCACATGTATATGTGTAGTCTCTGACTTTTCAGCGCTATCATCATCTTCTTTTCTTTGTAGTTTATCTTCTACAAAGATAACATCCCCACTGATGATCACTTTGTGGGCAGTGGGATCCCACAAGCGATACCCCTTTACTCCATCAGCATACCCCAAGAATTTACATTTCCTGGATTTTGGATCCAACTTTGAAATTTCTTGGGAGTTGTACATCACGTACACAATACTTCCAAATATATGGAGGTTTGAATAATCAGCTAGTTTACCAGTCCACATCTCCATTGGTGTCTTCAGCTCTATTGTAGTTGATGGAGCTCGATTCACCAAATAACAGGCAGTATTGACTGCTTCTGCCCAAAATGATATTTCTAGGCCTGCAGCTCTCAACATTGCTCTTGTTCTTTCTAACAATGTTCTATTCATCCGCTCTGCCACTCCATTTTGTTGCGGAGTGGTCTCCACTGTGAACTGTCTATTGATGCCTTCTTTCTTGTAAAAGTCATCAAATTCTTTACTTGTGTATTCTCCTCCATTATCTGTTCTGAAACACTTGATCTTATTTCCAGAATCAAGTTCCACCCGCGCTTTGAAGTTTTTGAAAGTTGAAAACACGTCTGACTGCTTCTTAATAGGGTGCACCTAACATCTGCCAGAGTAGTCATCAATAAATGAGACAAAGTATTTTGATTCGCCTAGGGATGTAACTGGTGCTTGCCATACATCAGAATGAACCAATTCTAGAACACTTTTGCCTCTAGAATTTGACGTGTTGAATTTCAACCGGTGCTGCTTACTTGTTATGCAATGCTCACACAAAGTAAGTGATACATTTTTAAGCCTGGAAGTAGCTTTTGCTCCACAAGGACTTTTATTCCTTGTTCTGACATGTGTCCAAGTTTCTGATGCCATAGCATTGCAGAATCTAAATTACATAAGGCAACAGAGGCTTCTGCTTCTAGCAAAGTCTCTCCCTTCAGCATTTACAAGTTTGCAGCTATCTTTTCGCCTTTCATCACCACAAGAGCTCCACGGAATACCTTCATGATTCCTTTCTGTGTTTCAATCTTGCTTGCATTATTATTCAACAATCCATAGCTTCAGGCCTTTCACGTGCCGCACATCTCGAATAACTTTAATTGTTCCATCATACATCTTCAATTTGATGGTTCCTATGCCAACGATCTCTAACGCATGATCATTGCAACTATACACAGATCCTCCTGAGACAGGTTCATAATGATGGAACCATTCTCTTCTTGAGGTCATGTGATATGTTGCTCCCGAATCAATGAGCCACATATCTGTAAATCTTTTTTTACCTTCCACGGTGGTTGACGCTTCACAACATAGAGTATCTCCATCATCTGAAGTGTTTGTTGTATTACCTTGTGGATTGGAATTTTACTTAGACTTCAAAAATCCTTCTTCAAGTGACCATTCTTTCCACAGTTGTAGCAATTTAAATTCTTCTTACTTCTCGACTTTGATCTACCATGTTTGTGACTGCTGCTTTGGTCACGTTCTGTTGATCTCCCTCTCATCGTTGTCAACACTTTTGCTTGTTGCATATTTACTTGTCTGTCTTTCTTGTTCTTGCGCCGATTTTCTTCTTGTAGAATAGCAGCTGCAACGTCATCGAAGACTAGACTGGTGACATTACTGTTTGTCAAATTGATGATGAGTTGATAATATGAATCATGTAGACTTTGAAGTAGAAGTTCAAAACGTTCTTGTTCTCCTATTGTACATCTTAAGGATGTAAGATGAGAAAATAAAGTGTTCAGCGTGTTTTAGTGCTCCGTCACTGAAGTAGATTCTGGCATACGGAGAGTGTACAATTTCCTCTTAAGGAAAATTTTATTGTGCAACGATGTGGCCTCATACAATTTGGTGAGATGATCTCATATCTCCTTAGTTGTATTCTTCTCCTCGATGCTTGACAATACTTCATCTTCTAATGCTAGATGAAAGTTTTCCATAACATTCCCGTCCATTTCGATCCATTTTTTATCATCTGTGAAATCTACCGACCTTTCATTGATAGCTGCTAGACCACCGTTTTTCCTCAAGATGACCTTTATCTTCAATTTCCACAATGAGAAATTTCTCCCATTGAACTTTTCAATATCAAATTTCGTTGCCATAACTTCTATTACGGATAGCTCTCACTATTTCACTATCGTGAATAGTTCTCTGGAACCTTCAAAGAATGGGTAATACCTTCTTATTTTCTTATGTTTCAGGATCCACCTTTTGGTGGAAACCACAAAGACAATAAGTAGGTATTACACACTTTAATCTAGCCCTTGATACCAATTGTTGTGGAAGACGGCTATCGGATAGAGCAAAATCGCAACTGATAATTTGAGAAAATAAAAATGAAGATAAAGAAGACACAAATTTTACGTGGAAAACCCCTAAATAATATAGGGTAAATATCACGGACAACGGTAGAAGAATTTCACTATGAGAAAATAGAAATTACAACTTCTCTCTATCTACCAAAGAGAAAACAATAATAATTCTCTTGGTAAAAAGGAAAAAACAACTCTTAAGAAACTCTCTAAATTCTCTAGTATTGGGAGAAAACTAGAATGATTTGGGATGGTTTTGAAGCTAAATGGGTTAGGGTATTTATAGTTGAAGCTTAAGAATTAATCTTGTAAATATCCTAAAGTATAATGACTAAATTGTGATTTTACCATTATTTAAATTCAACTAAAATCCAACTAATTTTCGGTGCCCATTTTTATTTCATTTTTTTCAACATGCACCGAAAGTGCATTAAGACTTTTTCATAAATAATTAGATATAGAAATATATAATTGTGATTAATTTTCTTCATTTAATTTAAAATTTTTAAAAATAAAATTATCGATCAAATATAATTCAATTAACATTATATTATATAAAAAATACATGTTTCTTTAATGTAAGACATAATATTATATTTTCTAATTACTTTCAAGTTAACTGTTATTCACCTTCATGCCCCCTCTTCACTTTCTAAGGCTTTGAAAACTCCAATGAAGAAATTCCCCACTTTCCTCCCACTTCGAGAAGAAAAGGTTTGATCTTCTTCTAGAGAAGCAATAACTAAAAGTAAAATGAAGGAAGAAGGGAATGTTAATCTCTACAAATTCCAACTCCTGAAGATAATCAACAAAGCTAAGATAGATGGGAGTAACGTCTTCAATGGCGGCGAAGTTTGCTTTTTTCCCTCCAAACCCACCTTCATACAAGGTTGTAACTGATGAACTAACCGGTCTTTTGATTCTAACTCCTTTTCCTCATAGAGAAAACGTCGAGGTTCTTAAGCTCCCAACTCGGCGGGGCACCGAGATTGTAGCTATTTACATTAGGCATCCTATGGCTACTTCTACTTTGCTTTATTCTCATGGTAACGCTGCCGATTTGGGTCAGATGTATGAGCTTTTCATCCAATTAAACATCCACTTGAGGGTTAATCTAATGGGGTAGACTGTTTTCAGCTGCTTCTTTTTGCTCATTCTTCTTGTGTACAAGTTTGCAACTCTTGTTTCTTATTTTGTGTGTATTTTTCCCCTTCTTCTTGCGTGTGTTTTGTGGTTTTCTGGGTTAGATATTTTATTGTTTCATTAGTTTTTATTTTTGGTTGGTTCTTGGCACCTGGGTGTCTATTTGGTTCTTAAATTCATTGAATTTACCAGAAATGGAATACAGAGATTTCCACGTGATTTGTTTCCTTATGAGTTTTGAGTGTGGGCAAACAAATGGATTTTCTTTTATCAAGCTTTGATGGAAATTGAACTGATTATAGCTTATTTTTCTGTTGGTCATGTTCTTCTTGATACTTGATAGTTAATTACCATTACATTGTCACTGTGTTTCCACATTATGCTCAATTTTTTCTCTGTTTTTGATCATAGGCCCTTAACCATATCCGATCGTGTCGAATACATTTAATTTAGGGGGGGAAATCTGTATAACCGATATTTTCCAGGTTAAACCTGATAAATTGTTCTTCACCAGCTACCAACTAGTGCTTTCATTTAGCAACAAAATGTTCTACTGTCTGTTCTGAGAAGTTATCGCCATGCTAAAGTGAGAAGCGGTGGATTTGTTTGTTCATGTCTAATGTCTCTAGGAATTGTGATTGCTGTCTTGGAATGATCTTTATTCATTTCTTACCCGTGGAAGAAACTTTAGCAACTCCTTAAAAGAAACTACAGTTTTCTTATGGATCTTATGTGATATTGTGCAGCTATGACTATTCTGGATACGGGCAATCTTCTGGAAAGGTATATACAACAAACATATTGTTTTAAAAGGAAAGGAGAAGAAACAAGTTATCTGTCTGTTATGGTTGTCATCTTGAAGTTGATAGGATTGTTTAAAGCCTCTCGTTTTTTTACAGCCAAGTGAGCAGAACACATACGCAGATATTGAAGCTGCATATAAATGTCTTGAAGAGAGCTATGGTACAAAACAAGAAGTTATCATCCTCTATTGTCAATCTGTTGGTAGTGGCCCCACTTTGGATCTAGTAGTGCGTCAGCCTCGGTTAAGAGCTGTTGTTTTGCACAGTCCCATACTTTCTGGTTTAAGAGTCATGTATCCTGTAAAGTGTACATATTGGTTTGACATTTATAGGGTAATACAAAGCATTATACATTATAAGTTTTCTTGTCCATTTTATTTCACTCTAATAAGGATTTATTTATGTGAGCATGCAAATATAATGTGTTCTTTATTAGTTGTTTGTTTGCTGATTATTGATAAAATTCCACTTGTCAATTGTCCTGTTCTTATCATCCATGTAAGTATATGTAATCCTGATGTCCCATTTTATGATTCATATAGTCTAATTTCATATATATACCACATGCACTCATATACCCTCATGTTTGAGCCGTTACGTTATTTGTATGGTTATTTATCTTTCTAAATTGAATTCTTCATAGTTAAGATGGAATTTAATGGACTCTCTTTTTCGTTTTCTTTCTTTGAAGTTTAAACTTTCCTTCGATTTTTTTTGGGTTGAAACTTACAAGTAAAACACCATTATTGAGAGATGAGATACTTATGCAATACTTGACCTTTTCTTCTTATGATATCCTGAAGTTTAAATTTTAGCCTTTTTACTTTCCTACATTTTCTATATATGTTGTGATAACTTATCTGTTCTTACCCAAAGTTTCCCAAAACCACTTTGATTGGATAACGATCAGAGTTTTTGGCCTGCAAGTCTGAACAAAAATATGGGGGTATCAATGAATTTTCTAGGTCTTCCTTCAGTTTTAGTTCACATACTGTCATATCTTATCATCGATTTTGTCATTGCTTATTAATAAGGAGTTTCTCTTGAAGGTCGAATTCATTCAATCAAGTCTGACAAAATCTAGATCTGCATTGAATTTTGGCCCATGAAGTGTCTCAAGTACAAACAAAAAGATAGCTGTCATGGCAGTGGGTAAATAATTGCTAGTTCAGGAGGATAGGAAATCCAGACAAAGTAAATTAATTAGAGTCCATAGAATTAAGATTTAAGAGAATGATGATTGGACCAGCGTTTATCTATGATATACAAGTATTTTGTTATTAGTTCGTTCTTCAGATATCAACAGATACCTATGGGAAACGATGAAGACCAAACACTCTTGTTTTGATGCCTAGAAAGATGAAAATATAATAATCTCTGCTAATTTACTTGCCTTTTTTATGAGGACTAAAATAAAACCGGATACCCTTTGAGTAGATTATCCGTATCTGGGGTCTATTGTTGAGCAGTATTTTGAAGTGAAAAGAAATGGCCTATATGGATTCCATTGCTGGCTAATCTGTAGTATTATACATTATTCAAATTTCGGTGTGAGATAAGAATACATATCCAATATGGGTATGTTCAATTTTCATTTATGTTTTCTCATATATTTGGAGGGACATATATATGAGTCGGGGATTCATTGAGCCAGTAACTGACAACAATATAGAAAATTGGGCAAAAATGATTTCATATACCATCAATTATAAACTTTTGGTTCATATTTTTGTTTATATCAATGCGCAGGGAACTTCGGATGAAGTTGTCGATTGCTCCACGGAAAGCAACTGTGGGAGCTATGCAAAGAGAAGTATGAACCACTATGGCTTAAAGGAGGGAACCACTGTGATTTGGAGCAGTACCCCGAGTATATCAGACATCTCTAGAAGTTAATCTCAACTGTTGAGAAATCTCCTTCTCAAAGGTACAGTTCTAGGAGAAGCACAGACCAATTCGAGCAGTCTCGAAAAAGTACTGATGTGTTTGAGGTTTCAAGGAAGAGTACAGATCGTAGAGAGAAGCCGAGGAAGAGCAATGACAGACCTGAGAAGTTGAAAAACCAGTCTAGTAATTTGGATAAGCTAGAAAAACTAAGAATCTCTTTTGATCAATTGGAAAGGTCTCTAGGAGTGTGGATTGCCATGAGAAGTCAGGAAAAAGCATCGATCATCAGTTGGAAAAAGCTCGGAAAAGTGTTGATGTGTTGGATAGGATACGAACAGGGTAATGATAATACTTTCATTCAGTAAAAAGAAAAGTAAATTGAATGCAAGAGTTTGATCTTTCATGTTGTGATGAACTAATTTTGGTTCTGTCCTTGGTTAGTTCTTATGGTGTCTGAGGCTCTGTATTTTGGTTTCCTCTATATCTTTCGATAATACTGTGGCACCAAATATGGGTTTGGTGTTTTACTGCAACCTTGTTTTGGCTATTTACATCTCGAACATTTTAAGCCCCAACCCAATTTGCTGCTATTACCGTACATTTTACTCGAAGGTTTGGTTCTTCTATGTTATATTGATTGGCAGATGAGAAAAAGGAAGCTCATATTTTGTCTTATCCATGGTTATGTAGATGTTAATGTGCAGAGGCTGACAGAGGCAATCTTGGTTTCATTTCACTGTATTAAACCATGGCTGATGGTGGAAGATTGACCGACACAGATCTCATGCACTGCTGCAAACAGAGGAAAGGACTCTAGCCATCCTCACTTCCTCAGTGCCTTGTAACTTAGCAAACCTCTCTGACCGTTGATACACCCAAAACATAAGAGAAGAAAATCAGATAGGAGTTTTATTAGTAATCGATTAACTTGGTATTATTATAAGCTCTTTAACTTAGTGAGTCTGTCAACTTACATTGCGAAATTTGGATTGTTTGAAGAAGACTAGAGAGAACTAGGTGTTGGGCTTTAACATGTTAACACGCAAGCATCTCATCATAATTTCGGATATTTTCCTTTTCATATCCGACCACTAATACAAATTTCTAAGCTTCTAATATATTTTGTTACTTCCTAGATGAACCGTAAAGAAGCTACTATGGGTTTCTTGAAGAATCTTTCCTTTCAATTGCTTATCCGTTGGACATACAATTGAACTCTAAAATACACTGGCATCATCGTCTTTCAACATGAAACCGCGTACATCACCTTGTTCTACCCGTTGCACTCCGGCAACCATCTTCTAATCCAATTTTTGAGTTTTCTTTACTTCCTCCACTATGTTCGGTTCTACTCGAGGTTTGGCCAACAATCCATCATCCAATAAGCTCAATCTTGCAAACAACACTCTCATATCTCTCATTGATTTTTGGCTCAATGCATTTGTCACCACATTCTCTTTCACGAGATGATAATTGATAACACAATCATAGTTCTTGAATAACTTAATTCATATTCGCTACCATAGATTTAATTCTTTTCGGGTGAGGTGATACCTCAAACTATTGTGGTCGATGAAGATGTAGCACTTTTCCTTAAATAGATGATTCCTCCAAATTTTCAATGCAAAGATCATTGCCACTAACTCAAATCATGCGCAGCTAGGCTTTTCATTGCCTTGATGCATATGCGATTACCTTTCCCTCTTGCATAAGGACACATCTGAGGCCATTTAAGGATGCATCAGTAGCTATTTAAAAAAAGGATGTGTCGTTATAGAGCAGAAAAGCCTTTATCGACTCTGTTTGGGTCAAAACTGATGCCTTTATCAAGAATGCTTTCAACTAGTCGAAGTTTCGATGTTGTTCCTTGATCCACTCAAAAGGTAAAACTATAACAATCCGAGACAAAAAATATTTTATTAATAAATAAAGAGTACAATTTAAAATAAAAACCCGAATGTCGACAGAATAACGAACTAGAAACGAGTTGAGGCATGTAGCTACACAGTTTCCCTAAGACAATATTTTCAACCACTACTTGGTGCTTGAGATCTTTGGTAGTCTTTCTCCCAACATACAATAACGAGATTACCAGTGTACAATAACACTTTGTGGTAAGTAAACCCCGTGAAATTCATAAGTAAAGTCCAACGACTTAATTGGATTTAGACTTGGGTCCATAAAAAGAAGGTTTTTGAATAGTGGAAAGATGGGGAACGACCAAAAGCGTAATTTTCCCATTTTGTAAAGATGAGGGTTTTTATATCTTATTTCATCTTTTCACTTCATTTCATCCTCCTCATTTCCTCTTCCTTCATCTTCTCTAAGTAGCTATAGCTCAAAGGTAAGATTTTGAACTCTTTTCATGCATCATTATCGTTGATAATTCTTCTTGCAACATCGTTTTAAAGAATCAAAGTCTCGGTTTATTCCTAGCTAAACAAAAGTGGGGGTTTTCATCCAAATCACCAAGGAAAAGAGTGTGGCTAAGCACAGAGCTCAAATTCGGGATTCAAACATCAAGGTAGTATATTTCTAATCCTTTGGAGTATTAAAATTTCATAAATTTAAAAAATTTGCTAAGATTCGGTTATTTAAGCATTTTAGGGTTTATCTTTGAATTCATGAGAAAATCATGTTTTAGGTGTTAATGAAGTGTTTTTATGACACTTAAAACTCTAATTAACTCTCTAAAGCTTCAGTACAAAATTAGGAACCAAACTAAGTCATCTAGAATGATTTTTGGGGTGTTTTAAAGCCTAAATAAACTATTTCAGGGTTTGAGTATCGATATTAAGATGAATAGTATCGATTCTGGTTGAATTGGGGTAAAAATTAGGGTTTCAAGCTATGAGCATCGATAGTGCTAGGGAGAGTATCAATATTGCCCCTACAGTATCGATACTCAATGGGACAATATCGAGGCTGAGGCCCTATTTTAAGCAAAACAAATGCATTTTTGGTACTAATACTCATAGGGATATCGATACTTGAACCTAGGGTATCAATATTGCAAGTAAAGTATCGATACTACTCACTTTGGATGGTTAGTTTTGATCCATTTAAGTCCCGTAAGAGCTAAGTACGATCCATAATAGTAAGACTAAGTCCGTGAGTGACGTAATAGACCAAATATACCTAGAAACGCTCACGAGGAATAGGTTACAACATATGTAACCATATTAAACGTAATATGTCAAAATATCTTCATTCACGGACGTATACAGATTGTTGAGGACAAGGATCATTGCATAGAATTTACCGACAAGAGGTACAATAAGTAAGTCATATTCAGTACTAGCAGAAAGCGTGAGCTTCGAGAACGTCAATGAACCTAGGAGGTAAGTTGTCTCTTTCAGTCCAGGGTGTATTAAGGAGAAGTAAGATAAGAGCGACTAGAGCATTCCTACACAGAGTTGAACTCGAGTCAGGTAACAGGCTAGAAAATAGTACAACTAGCAATAATAAACTCAGTAATCATTGTTGAATCACGAAATGCTTAAAGAAGTCTCTTAAGTTAAAATGACGAAAGTGTTTTTAAGTAACGAACGACCATAATAGAGTAGTTTAATAACAGACAACAGTAACAGACTAATAAGTCTTCGCATAACGTTCTAGATAAGAGAACAAGCAAGATAGTAGCTAGTGAGAGGCTAACCTCACTTTAGTGAGTCCAACTATACTAGGGTATAGCCAGGTTACCTTAGTTTCCTAGTGTGACATTGTTAGTGCGTGAGGCACTTCAGGAGCTAACTAGGGCGCGAGGCCTAAACAGTCATGGGGAATGGGTTAGCGATGTCAGTGTTGTGTGGCCTTTGGGCCTTAGACATGTTTGTATAGTTGCATCATTTCAGTACATCAGATATGTTAAAGCTTGGCTTGAAGGCCTATGAGACCAAGCCAATGTTTTAGAAAGGCAAGAATTATACCGATGCTATGTGACATCGAGTTCCCCCTCTGTGATCTACCTGATGACTATGTGAGGACCAGGAGATCATTCCTTATGTTAGTGGGAAATGTACCGATGTTATATGACATCGGGTTTCCTCTGTTAACAAGTGTCTGATGGCTATGTGAGACCAGATACTAGTAAGGTTTGCATTCAGATAATGCACATGAGTATTAATGTTGCATTTGGATATGTGTAGCAGTAACAATCATTAGGATTAGAGACCCTTCAGAGGCGTACACATGGAGAGGCCCTTAGTAGAGAACTAAGGGAAACGTGAGACTCTTACTTCAGTGATAGAACAATAAAGCCTTAAGTAGGTAGCACTTTATCTAGATCATGCATGTACCTACTACTTAGTACCATATTTTCAGGATGCTTGTGTTTATGAAATTCTTATGTTGCTCTAGATTAGCGATTATACTGTTGGGTTTGTAAGCTCAGCCTTCAGATATTTTTTGTTGGCATTTCAGTAACTTGGGCAGTTCGTGGGGCACCATCGCAACAAGACTTCCAACATCTCCAACAGAGTATTGTACTATAGCTTTAGTGGGCATATGTATTCATAGAACCTTACCACGTATTTAGTTTATTAAACTTAGGGTTTATATTATTTTGGTTTTAAATTATGTGTCATAGAGCTCTGGTTTTGTAAAATGTTTTTATGACAGTTAATTATGTTTTAATTATGATATCATTAAGTATGTTTGAAAGTAAAATGAATAGGTTTTGAAAATCAGGGGTTACCTCGTTATCTCAGTGTGGTACGTTAGGCCCAATCAAGTTTAGGGTGTTACATTTAGTGGTATCAAAGCGTCAGGTTGAGTTAGTCCTAGGACTTTGTGGTTGATTTTAGTAAGGTGTCAATGAATACATGCCCCTAGGTACTGAAAGTACTTGTACAAGTCTGGAATCCTGATGGTTCTCCTTCTCTTAATCTGTATTGTAGAGCATTGCGATGGTCGATAGTTTCAAATGTGGTCTTGAGGATAGGATGGAGAGTCGAGCCTCTTATCCCAATAGCCCTAGTGAGGAGTTCCTACCTAGGGCAGAGGATCAAGGGGTTCTGTTAGGCACATAAGTCATAAAAATGACATTCTTCAAAGGTTTGACTTCACTCTTTGAGAGATAGTGGATGTCATTCCTAGAGTGCAGATTATTCAGCCACCACCCAAAGTACGTCAGTGCTTATAGAGTCCCCAATAAAGAGATTGAGAAGTTATAAGACAGTCGACTTCTATGGTTCAGGTGAAGATGATCTGATTTCATCCGATCAGTGGTTGAGAGAGACCATAAGGACTTTGATACAACTTTACTTTACCCCAAAGGGTAAGTTAGAGTGCATCACTACTTTGCATAAGGGTGGTGTTATCGATTAGTGGGAGACTGTAGAGATGGCTCTAGAGCTAAAGGTGCCCATATGGGATCAGTTCCTAGATAAGTTTAGAGGCAAGTACATCTGCGAGGCACACATAGATGGTTAGAGGATATAGTTCAATCAGCTAGTTTAAGGGAAG